CCCCCCCCCCCCCCCCCCCCATCCCAAAGTGACTTTTGGCAGGTGCTGTTTACTGGCGTGCGCATCTTGATAGAGGGTCAGCCAGTCGTAGAGTATTCTGGGGAGTACGGCTACAAGTTAGTATTGATTATTTCCATATACATGTGTGTGTGTGTGTGTGTGTGTGAGTGTGCAGGTGCGTGTGTGTGCATGTGTGATGATGAGGGGGGAAGGGGAGAGGGGGGTATGTGTCTGTGTGTGCACCAACATTTTTTATCTGAAAAGATTGTTAAACTCTCTGTAGAGTTTTACATTGAGCTGTTTGTATGCTGCTCTTTATTAAGTATTTACTCTGTGTTATGTATTTTAAGTTTTTAGTTTAGTCAGAGATTACAGCACTTGCAGCACAGGTTATGCAAGTGGAAGATTAGAGGTGTTATTTTGTTGTTGTTTTTTCATATGTGGAAGGGATATCCACTGTCCCACTGTGGTCTTGTAAAAGATGGACAAAGAAAGTATTGGATAATTTGTTGGTTTTTTTACTACTTTTTTGGTAACATCGAGATGCTAGTCCAGGATGGGGAAATGAGGAAAGTGTTTGCCTAAACCTGTCCTCGTGGTTTTATGCATCCCGCTTAATTTAGCAAAATTTGATCACTTTTTGCATAATTTCTTATTATTTTCCTTTATCATTATCAACAGAATCGCATAATTTCACATTTTTTGGGCTCATTTTGCATAATTTAATAATTTTTCTTGCTTAAAATGACGGGGACAGCTATACCCTGATCCAGGATAAGAAAGGTGATGATGATGATAGATGTAGTAATTAAGGAAGTGCTGGATCTTCATTTCTTTTTCAATATCCACTCAACCACTGTGAACTTGTAAAACATCGATAAAGGAAATCGTCAAATATTTTGTCGTTGTTTTCTCTGTCTATGCCAAGGTTGTGCTGGATCTTCATTTTTTCCCTGTCCACTCTACGACTACGACCTTGAAAACATTGAAAAGGAAGCAATCAGATATTTTGTTTGGGGGTTTTTTTTCTGTCTGGTAGAATATCCACTCTACCACAAAGGCCTTGTAAAAGATGGATACGGAAATCATGGGATATGATTTTGTTTTTCCTTTCTGTTGCAACTAACCACTGTGAGTTTGTAAAGCATTGAAGGAAATCATGGGACATTTTGTTTTTGTTTTCCTTCTGTGGCAGGAATGTCAGTGCATAAGGAAATCATTTAATGTTTTGTTTGGGTTTTTTCCCATCTGTGCTTGGGTAATAATACTAATAAGCTGCATCCTGATGGTTGTGTTTTGTCTTCCCTCTGTGCCACGGTAATGAACTGATGGTGATGGTGGTGTTCCTGTTTGTATTTACCTCTGTGCTGCAAGGATAATGAGCTGTATCCTGATGGTGGTGTTTCTGTTTTTTCTTCCCTCTGTGCCAGGGTAATGAGCTGTATCCTGATGGTGGTGTTTCTGTTTTTTCTTCCCTCTGTGCTAGGATAATGAGCTGTATCCTGATGGTGGTGTTTCTGTTTTTTCTTCCCTCTGTGCCAGGGTAATGAGATGTATTCTGATTGTGGTGTTTCTGTTTTTTCTTCCCTCTGTGCTGTTAGGATAATGAGCTGTATTCTGATGGTGGTGGTCCTGTTTTTTCTTCCCTCTGAGCCAGGGTAATGAGCTGTATCCTGATGGTGGTGGTCCTGTTTTTTCTTCCCTCTGTGCCAGGGTAATGAGCTGTATCCTGATGGTGGTGTTTCTGTTTTTTCTTCCCTCTGTGCCAGGGTAATGAGCTGTATCCTGATGGTGGTGGTCCTGTTTTTTCTTCCCTCTGTGCCAGGGTAATGAGCTGTATCCTGATGGTGGTGTTTCTGTTTTTTCTTCCCTTCTGTGCCAGGGTAATGAGCTGTATTCTGATGGTGGTGTTCCTGTTTTTCTGCTGTGTGGTTCTCCTCAACATCCTCATCGCCCAGCTCTCAGACACGTACCAAAACGTCCAGAGAGACGCTCAGCGAGGACTCGAACTCAACAGGGCCTGGATCATAACCAGGGTAGAGCTGAACTCGCTGTTCATTGGGAAAAGCTACCGGGTCTCCAAATATACTGAGGTGAGTCTCAAGGGAAAAGTACATTTTGTTTTATGTTCTGTGTGTTTGTGTGCTCATTCTTTATGAATGATTAAGATGAGTGAGGGAGTGAGTGGGTGGGTGGGGGAGTCTGTAAGTGTGTGAGCAAGTGTGTGAGTGTGTGAGTGAGTGAATGAGTGAGTCTGTGAGTGTGAGAGCGAGTAAGTGAATGAATGAGTGTGAGAGTGAGTGAGTGTGTGAGTGTGAGAGTGAGTGAGTGTGTGAGTGTGAGAGTGAGTGAGTGTGTGCGCGAGTAAGTGAGCAAGTAAAAAGAAGCACTTCATCATGGAAAAGGTCATCTAGTGCAAAAAAAACCCAAGCTAGACAAGGGCAAATACAAGATCTGAGAATCTCTTCGCTATATATGCATATTTTGCCATGGGCATCTTTGCTCTGTGCATGCTAAACTGTAGTAATTATGATTAAGTGTTCCTCATTAGAGACTGTGTTGTTCCATTCTGCATTTTTTTAGGCGAGAAGCTAATATGTGGCGACAAAACAAAATGACATCATGAAATGAACATTCCTTTCCAAACACCGCAGTTTTATTCATGTCTCAATTTTCATCCCGTTCTTGTTCCTCTCTGTATTTTGTGAGGCCACAAGGAACTGCGAGAACAAAATAACACTAAAATATTCCTCCTTTCCAAGCACTGCTATTTTAATCTTTTCTCAACTTCCCCCCTCACTTGTTGCAGGCTGAAGAGTTGAGCAATCCGCTGAACGTGCTGGAGAAGTGGGAATCTCCACTCCTGAATGAGATGAGTAAAAACGTCCGTGAAGTGCAGGAGAGTCTTGTGTCGACCCACCTCAACATGCAGACCATTACGAACAGACTGAGCAGGCAGGAGTATGCTCTGAAGAGGATTCAGTACGTTTGCTAATATCACTTTTGTTGTATTATGTTGAAATCAGGTTTTATCACAATAATTAAGTCAAAGAAACCTACATTTTTCTGCAATTTTTGCAATTTTTATCTAATTATTTTGGCGACTCAACACTTTTTGTATTCTTTTAAAAATTTGTTTCTGTGTATCAAGCGCTGTTTTGTTGAACCTTGCTGAGGTGTTAATGAGGTTACATCAGCACAAAGAATTGCTCTGAACTAACCTCGCCCTCTTTGAGTTGTCTTTGAAAACATGCATTGAATAAGATGCTTACAAACATTGCACAGTAAGGTATCTAGAGTTTTTATGTAAAAAAAAAATGATTGTCACAAAAATTCGAGTTAGTGATGTTCCAACAGAGCACCAATGAAATGAAAATATATCTTGAGGGAAACTGAAAGATTCACTCAGGGACATGGCAAATATTCTGTAGATTGTATTGAAAAGAATGACAGCATTTTTTTCTAGACTGCTTTCAGCTCTGTCTGTTTCTACCTTCTCATCCTTCTCTTCTCAAGTGAAAATTCTGTCTTTCCTTTTTTGCTTCAGATCTAACGCCCCAACCTTATGGGATTAATTTTTTGTTTAAATTTCTTTTTTTCATTCTTTGATTATCATCCCAGGGATTAAATGCTCTTACTTTCTTAGGGCTATTTTGATGTTATTGCTGTCTTTATCATGCTAATTCCTTTCTTTCCTTGCAGGGAACAACTCAATGAAGTGCTACAGTGCCAAAAGAGTTCCATCGAAAAAAAGCAAGCTAAATGATTTGTTGAATATCATGTTTTATTATTGTTGCCTACTTTTTGAATGATTGTGTGGCTAAAATGTTGGAATGATTGTATAACTAAAATGTTTGAATGATTGTGTAACGAAAATGTTTGAATGATTGTGTAACTAAAATATTTGAATGATTGTGTAACGAAAATGTTTGTTAGAAAGCATACCTTTGTCTGCTGAAGAATGACTATCATGTTTGCTGTATGAATTTGAATGCAATAAAACACTGTCAAAAGTATTGATGACAGACGAGTTCATTTTTTAAGGTAGTTTTTACGTTTAACAAGCTTCTGTTAGTTTTGTTTTGTTTTGGGGGTTTTTAACTACTGTTAGCGTTATAAATTCCTATCTTCCTCTGCTCTGAAGAGTCACGAGGGATGTGGGTACCCTCTATCTCGTTCCCTACTTGAACCATCTTTAATGTCACTGTGAAGTTCCGAAATGGTGGGCATAGTCTCTGCTAAGGTGACCTTATTAGTATTAGCCTTTAGCCTATTCTATCTGGTCAAGACAAGTGAAGAAAGGACCTTAGTAGGTAGACAGTACAGTGGCAGATATGTTGGGGATTTTGTAAAGGGGTTGTAGGTAGCAAGTTGACAACCAGGTATTCCTTTCAAGTCTTATTTGTACGTGAAGTTGCGGAGATTCTGACAAGGGAGCCTCGAACCCGAGTCGAGAGGGAACAATTTACACACAATATTGTTTGCCTTACGGGGAGAATTAAATTGCAGTTCTGAAAATGGCAACATAGTCTAGTGGAATGTATATTTTATGTGTTTTGTTTAAAGCCGCCGCTCAGTGACGTCGTGCATACCATCCATTTGCTTATATGTGGGTGTGGCCTCTAATAAGATTTTGCATTCAATTTGAGCGTTTGCTTTAGTGAAAAGGCACCCACGACATTATAAATAGATGTAATTTTGTGCTGCCACACGCACACACACACACACACACACACGCGCGCGTGCGCGTGCGAGCGCACATACTGTATTTATTGTTATAATCTTCTCTATGCATGTGTGTTCATTGAAAAAAAGTCCATCAAACAACTTGTGAATTCATTTGCAATCAAACCACCTTGTGCCTTGTGTCATAAGCAACAGATGGAATCATACGGGGTTGCGTTGAAGATTATGTGCTTGCTTTGAAACAACAGTGCCAAAGGTACACCCTGAAGATTCGTGCAAATGATTACAAGGTTTTCTTGCCCAAGCGTAGATGTTTTATCCATATATGGTATCCTTTCTAATATCACAACTGAAAGAGCTGCGGTGCTGGCCTACCATAGAAAACTGCATCTCCCCTCGACGCTTAACAGCAACAGAGGATGAAAAGGTAAAAGTAAGTAAAATGATGCCCTTTCTTTGTCATTTTCGTTTCTGACATGTGAGATCCCCACTTTGTCTAGCCTGACGTTGTCAAGGCTCAAAACTCCCACACAATTCACGTTGATCTTTTTTGGCTCACCGATCGACATGGTTTTTTTTTCATCTAGCACATAATGAGTAGTCTGACATTCAAGGTAGATTGTCCTTGACGTTTGAAACAGATGAAGCTCGGACAGATTACAAAATCAGGGATCAAGATTTCCAGTTTTCTAGAGCTTTTCAAAGAATTGTGGAATTGACGGTTTTATCAAGCGACCGACGATAGATCTATCAGCCACAGAAATGTGAAAAATAACGTTGAACACATTGACTGTTCAAAAGTTTTGACGACACATACACATTTTTTAAAGTTTAGTTTTAGTAAGAGTTTTACGGCAGTTGCAACATAATAAAAGGTATAAGTGCCAATATTTTTTTTTCACTGTCACTGACACTGAGAGGCTTGCTGATGCAGAAAGAGAGAAAGCTTTTTCCCTTCCAATTCTTTCCCTTTCTATTTGATGAAGCAAAAAAAAAAAATGTATTCATCTTTTTGACTGTCTGATTGATGGTGCAGATATAAAAATTAACTCTCACTCTCAACATTTTTTGGGTTTGGGCCAGTTTTTTAAGGACGCAGATTTTAAAATCCCTTAATTCTTGTGATAGTCAACACAATAAGTGTTATATATCAACGGAAATGTTATTGAGTGGACTTAGGTTTGATACAATAATTATGTGTGTATGATTTTTCAGTTTCATGTGTGACCTACTTACTTGGTGGGCCTATCTAAAAAAAATGAAAAAATGACCTTTTTTCAATATAATATTTTTACATAGGCGAAGAACTTTCTTTCAAATTTTCAGCTATCGTTTTGATGGGGCAAAACGGGTTAGGGGTTCAAAATACTACTGTTTTGCCTCAGAAAGGGGGAATGTAAAGTATACAGTTGCAATGACGTGAATTTAGTTACATAGATTTATATTATTTCAATATTATTTATGGGTTTTGTACATTTGCATATGCCATGCCAAATCCCATGAGCTTAATATTCCAGTAGATACGCTTTGCAATATAATCATAGGCGCTGGTAGATAAAAGACGATGTTCCCCATTGTAATAAGCTTGTCATATTTCACTCTCTGGTTTTATTTCTGCATGTCTAGACGTTTTTATTTTAATCTCCAAAGGTAGGTAATAGTTTTGCTTCATCTTAGCCACCAAGTTCGAGTGGCTGAGAGAGAAAAAAAATGTTTTCTAGATCTAGATTTTGAGAGTGTGAAGGGAAAGATCCAGTGTTTTGTGAACACAAAGGTCTCAGCGAGATCAGCTCACTGTCGCTAACATTGTGGGGTCGATAGCGTCGGCGGCTGAAAGGGGACAACGACGTGACCAAACCATTTACTTCAAATACAAAAGTATAGCCTTCAATGAATTCTTATGTCTAATAAACTGGAATTTGTGAAATGCAGGAATGCGCTTTTACTCCTAGACCTGCTTCATAACTTAATTCTCGGGTCTGGCAGTGAAGTGGTAGGTATTTGATGTTGCCATAAAAAAGCACTTCGTCATACTCTTTTAGGATTTATTTGATGGTATGGGAAAAGGCTTTCTTTCAACTCTTTGATTGTTTGTTTGAGGGTGCACAAAACAAAACAAAACAAAAAAACGTTCTCCGGTGTCCAGAAAGGAGCTATACTTGTCCCGTGCAAAACAACAAAATTGAATTCAACTTGCACATTCTTCAACATAGTGTCAAGAGGAACAAGCATGGAAGTTCATTGACTGCTTAGTTTGCTAATATTATCATTTTGTGTGTGTTGTTGTTTGTTTGTTTTTTGGGGGGTTTTTTCAAATGAATTTTACACTCTAAAAGACTCAAAAATGTTCCATAAAAGATGGGACACATAGCCCTGTGGGGAGACTCAAGGAGGAGAAAAGAAAGATGTCGGATATGATAAGAGAGAAATTTGACGCATGTGCATCTGAGAAAGTTTTGTGCATGAGGCCCTATGATATACTGATTTTGAGCTCTTTTGAACGATATCTTCGAGATTCCTACACCTTTTTCAGTTGATATTTTCTCTTTTTCTCTGTCTCAGAAACCTAACTAGACACATCAACATGTACTGAGAAACATAAACATTTGTGTTTCGAGAGGGGGGGGGTGATCGTTCGAAATGTGCCTCAACACGGTCTTTGGCCGGCTGCTGGACCTTAATTAAGTATCAGCTACGTCAGTAGAAAAAAAAAGAGTGAAAGGGTTGAGTCCCCCAGACAGAATTGGGAGAATCATGTATCATGTACTTGAATGTACAACAGGTGGACGGAAAACTCGGAACTTTCGAGAGATGCTCAGGAGAGGGGGTATTGTGTGTGTGTGTGTGTGTGTGTGTGTG